TCAACACTTATACGCACCAATGCCCTAGATATTCTTCGACATATTTTTAAAACAAACTACGGACATTTTGTATATATTTCATATACACCTGTAATTTTTATACAGTAGACCAGGGATATAAGAGCATCTTATATATGAAAAATGAGACATATGAAAATGTTTCAACCCTATAAGAAAAACCCGCTTACCCGCGAATTTTGATTTTTTATGGAAATTTTGAAATCATTAATAAATTTTGGTGTAGTTAATTTTAAAACCCAAAAAATAAAAACTATGATTTACAATTACGATTTTTTCTGAATTTTTATAAAATATTTCTAAAACCTAATTTTATCAGAAGTATTTTTGAAAACAATAAAATAATACTTGAATTTTTAAATATATTTTTCTGATGTAATAAGAGACACCAAATAAAAAATTATATTTTTAAAATAATATTTTTTTTTCAAAAAACAAGAAATCTATTTTTTTGTTAAAAAAAAATACAATCAAAGTGCAAATGCTACAGATTATTCACATTAAACAATAAGGGACCTCGTTGTGTATACATAACGTCAACACTCATACACACCATGGTCCCCATACAATAATTTTTATACAAAATAATACCTTAAAGACTTAAAGAAAACGCTTCAATTTACACACACCAATAGACAAATATAATAAGAAAACAGACAGAAAACGCACACACACAGACAATATACATACAAAAATTATATTATTACAAAATATTTATGCTAATTATTATGTAGTATATACGCAAAATTAAAAAAATTAAAAGAAAATATTATTACTTTAATTTAATTTTTTGTGTGGCGGTTTATGACTCTTTCATACAAACACACACATACATCCTTTATATATATATATACATGTAACATAAACATATTTTCTTTAATTTTTTCCAATGCCTTCTTACATTCCTGGCAAAGAATTTCGCACAAAAAAGAAAAGAAAAAAATAGAAAACTCAAAAAACATTTCATGATAATGGTGATGGAGGTGGTTGGTGTAGTCATAATCAATAGAGGGAAAGGGGTGATCCAAAAAATATATATAGATATGAAAACAATGATTGATTAACGTTCAATGTTCAGATATTCAATGCGCATTTTTATTTATGGAGAAGAAGATAAACAAAAAAGTTTGTAGTTTGTTTTTTTATCTCAACATAAAGTAATTAAGTCGGTAAACAAGCCAAATTAGAAAACCAGATAATGTACCCTGCATTTCCATACCAAAATTCTGGCACATTCCTCGTGATCATAGATGGCGGCCAAGTGCAACGCCGTACGTCCATGTTCTCCGCCCTGCTGGATGTCGATGACATTACGATATTTGCCCATGACGCGTAACGCTTCGACCCGATTCAGTTCGGTGGCCAGGTGTACGGGTGCCTGTTTCTTTTCGTTGAGAATGCTTGTGTCCACGGGTCTTTTGGAAGCCATAGAATAAAAAATAGAAAATACGAAAGGAGTAAAAAAGAGAGTGAAATTAATTAATGCATCTAGTTGTTGTTTTTTTAATTGATTCTAAGAATGCAGTGCTAAAAGGGAAATTTGACAAGTTAATTAAGGTGGTTGTGTAAGAAACAAGTCATGAGGACCAATTACTGTGGCCATTTTTTTATTTTTCTGCAATTAATTACAGGTGTGTTCAACTTCCTTGTGCTGCCTTTGCGAACAATTCGTTGATTGCCGAAGAAATTAATAAAATATTGAAAACTATTGTCCAGGTAATTAAACGGAATGGAAAAATATTTCTGTTTATATAATTTCTTGGAAAATGTTAGGTAGTTTATTGGAAATTGTGTATCTGTTCTCCATTCGTCTGTTATGAAAGTCCGGGAAACAATTTCAGTTTCACACGTAAAACAAGCGAATATATACAAAATTGAGTTGAAATTAAAAGAAATGTGTACGTCTTGGCGTATACGTTGCGCCAGTAATTATACGCCCCGATGTCCGTATGAAGAAAGTTGTTTCTCTTAGTATTTAGAGAAGGATCCATTATTCCTAGACTGAATGTGAATATAGGATTTACCGACCAAGTCTCAAGGTAAATTTTAGAGAAGGGTCAATTATCTCCGTGTACATTTTAATTTTTATACCCTTCACCACACTGTGGTACAGGGTATTATGTCTTTGTGCATAAGTTTGTAACAGGCAAAAATAATCGAGATATGCCCATGGTTCCTTTTGAGAATATGCATAGAATCACTTTCTGAGTCGATTTATGCATGTTCGTCCGTCTGGCCATGTTAAATTGTAAAAAAAATACAGGTCGCATTTATGATCCGAATTGGATGAAAGTTGGCACAGCTCATTTGTTTGGCCCAAGGATGAACCCTATTGAAATTGGGAAAAATCGGTTGAGATTTAGATATAGCTCCCATATACATTTTCGTCCGATTTAAGGTAAATGGTGTATCAAAGTCCCTATATATCTTTCGATGTGCACGAAATTTAGCACAGCGTAATGAATAAGGTATAGAATGATGATTGCTAAATATCGTGAAAATCGGTTCAGATTTAGATATACCTCCCATATATAGTTTCGTCCGATTTATGGTAAATGGTGTCCCAAAGTCCCTACATATCTTTCGATGTGCAGGAAATTTGACACAGCGTAATGAATAAGGTCTAGAATGATGTGTGCAAAATTTCGTGAAAATCGGTTCAGATTTAGATATAGCTCCCATGTATATCTTCGTCCGATTTAAGGGAAATGGTGTACCAAAGTCACTATATATCTTTCGATGTGCACGAAATTTGGCACAGCGTAATGAATAAAGTCTAGAATGATGTGTGTTAAGTTTCGTGAAAATCGGTTCAGATTTAGATATAGCTCCCATATATATCTTTGTTCGATTTAAGGTAAATGGTCCACCAAAGTCCCTATATATCTTACGATGTGCACGAAATTTGCCATAGCGTACTGAATTGAGTCTAGAATGTTGTGTATTAAGTTTCGTGAAAATCGGTTCAGATTTAGATATAGCTCCCATATATAGTTTCGTCCGATTTATGGTAAATGGTGTCCCAAAGTCCCTACATATCTTTCGGTGTGCACGAAATTTGACACAGCGTAATGAATAAGGTCTAGAATGAGGTGTGTTAAGTTTCGTGAAAATCGGTTCAGATTTAGATATAGCTCCCATATATATTTTCGTCCGATTTAAGGTAATTGGTGCACCAAAGAACCTATATATCTTTCGATTTGCACGAATTTTTACATGGCGTTCTGAATTGAGTCTAGAATTATGATTGGTAAATTTCGTGAAAATCGGTTCAGATTTAGATATAGTTCCCATATATATCTTCGTCCGATTTAAGGTAAATGGTGTACCAAAGTCCCCATATATCTTTCGATGTGCACGAAATTTGGCACAGCGTAATTAATAAGGTCTAGAATGATGTGTGCTAAGTTTCGTGTAAATCGGTTCAGATTTAGATATAGCTCCCATATATATATGTTCATCCGATTTAAGGTAATAGGTGCACCACAGACCCTATATATCTTTCTATGTGCACGAAATTTGCCATAGCGTAATGAATAAGGTCTAGAATGATGTGTGCTAAGTTTCGTAAAAATCGGTTCAGATATGGATATAGCTCCCATATATATATGTTCATCCGATTTAAGGTAATTGGTGCACCAAAGACCCTATATATCTTTCGATATGCACGAAATTTGGCATATCGTAATGAATTAAGTCTAGAATGATGTGTGTTAAGTTTCGTGAAAATCGGTTCAGATTTAGATATAGCTCCCATGTATATTTTCGTCCGATTTTAGGTAAATGGTGTACCAAAGTGCCTATATACCTTTCGATTTGCACGAAATTTGCCATAGCGTAATGAATACGGTCTAGAATAATGTGTGCAATGTTTCGTGAAAATCGGTTCAGATTTAGATATAGCTCACATATATATTTTCGTCCGATTTAAGGTAATTGGTGCACCAAAGATCCTATATATATTTCGATTTGCACGAAATTTGGCATAGCGTACTGAATTGCGTTTATAATAATGTGTGCTAAGTTTCTTGAAAATCGGTTCACATTTAGATATAGCTCCCATATATAATTTCGCTCGATTTTAGGTAAATGGTGCACCAAAGTCCCTGGAAATCTTTTCATTTGCACGAATTTTTGCATAGCGTACTGAATTATGTCTAGAATGACGTGTGCTAAGTTTCGTGAAAATCTGTTCAGATTTAGATATAGCTCCCATATATATACTTTCGTCCGATTTTATATAATTGGTGCACCAAAGTCCATATATATCTTTCGATTTGCACGAATTTTGATATAGGGTACTGAATTAAGTCTAGAATGATGTTGCTAAGCTTCGTGAAAAGGTCCATAGCTAGGCCGATTGACACAACGTTGAAATCGGCTTAGATATAGATAAATAACAAAAACGCGACGTCTGTTAGGATACATATGTAGAATATACCCAAGGTGGTGAAGGGTATCATATAGTCGGCCCAGTCCGATTTTACTACTTTCCTTACTGGTTTTTTAGAGTCAATTATCCATTGAGCTGGGGTCATTTCTCCATTGATCAACGGCCATTTAACCTAGACCTAAATTAAATTTTCCATAGGCCCAGAGAAAATTATCCATTGACATAACGTTTATTATCCATTTCCAAATTTCATTGACCCAGGTCAATAATTCAATGACCAATTATCCGAAGTTAGGTTGGCTTTCACATCGAGTCAATTATCTATTGACCTAGTCAATATTCCATTGACTAATGTTTGGTTAACGATTAAAGACTCCTCAATTTAATTTTTCCGTCCGATTTCCGACCCTTTAATCCTAAAATCGCCGAGGATTTCAAATAGAGGCAATCAAGTGAAACGAAGTCAGCGTGATAAATAACCCCACGATGGTGGTGGGGAGGCTATTGATTTATGTGCTCACATTCCAGCCACGATTCGGATGGCGATGACAACGTTGTTACTCGTATTCCCACACGTTGGTGTTCGCGTTTATGTTACTCTATTGGCTAATGAATCTCTATTGTTGTGGTTGTGGTTTGGAAAATCAAAACTCTTTACCACAACATATCCATCGAAAACCCTATCCATTCTAAGAGTGCGGAAGAGGGGTGTCCTTCTCATACTTACATTGATAGTAAAAATTCCAAGGCATCACGTGAATCACATTCCACAGCCATGTGTATGGGTGTATTGCCGGCATTATCTTGTATATTAAAATCTAAGGGAAATAACATTTCAAAATTTATAAAATATACCATAATGAAAATATTTTATTAATTAAATTAATTTCAAAATATTCTGGAGGATTATTTGAAATATTTTTAGAAGGTTATGCTAAGATTTTTTATTGTTGCTTACCACCATTTTGATCTCTGATATAACGTAAAATATTTACACGATTACGTGATGCGGCCTGATGGGCAGCAGTTCGCCCCTTGCCATCCTGCAGTGAGAGACGTGTATTGTCGGCTTGATAGAGACTTTTGAAATCATCTAAATTGCCGGCTTCGGCAGCCTGAAAATAAAGAGAAATACAAAAATAGATGATAAATGGGGTTATCAGAAGAGAATGTGTCAGCTCCTTTAAATTCGTGGAAGACTTCATTTTTGAGTTGGGTCAAAATTAGGCGCTTAAACTTCATTTTAGCGGAATGGTGTTAAGAAGAAAAATATTCCGCATTGAATTTTACTATGGAACTCAGAAGAAACGAAATCTGTAAATTTAAGACATATACCCATAAAAGGTAGATGGAAATGATATATTCTACATCGAATTTCTCTATGGGTCTCCATAGAAATGAAATCTGTAATAGGTATATAGGACAATATATAAACCCTTCACCACACTGTGGTACAGGGTATTGTGTCTTTGTGCATATTTTTGTAAAAGACAAAAGGAAACGAGATAGACAAATGGATCCTTTTGAGAATATGCATAGAATCACTTTCTGGGCGATTTAGGCATCGCCCATGTATTTTTGCGTCCATGTATTTTTGCGAACAAAGTACAGGTCGCATTTTGATCCGATTTGGATGAAATTTGGCATAGGTCACGAATCCTATTGAAATTGGGAAAAATCGGTTCCTATTTAGATATAGCTCCCATATATATTTTCTTCCGATTTAATGTAAATGGTGCACCAAAGTCCCTATAAATCTTTCGATTTGCATGAAATTTGGCACAGGTCTAGAGTAATGTGTGTTAAGTTTCCTGGTTATCGGTTCAGATTTAGATATAGCTCTCATATATATAATAGTCCGATTTAATGTAAATGGTGCACCAAAGTCCCTATGTATCTCTCCATTTGCACGAAATTTGGCAGAGCGTACTGAACTGAGCCTAGAATGATATGTGCTAAGTTTCGTGAAAATCGATTCAGATTTAAATATAGCTCCCATGTTTACTTTCGTCCGATTTAAGGTAAATGGTGGACAAAAGTCCCTAAATATCTTTCGATTTGCAGGAAATTTGGCACAGCGTAATGAATTATGACCAGAATGATGTGTGTTAAGTTTCCTGAAAATCGATTCAGATTTAAATATAGCTACCATATATACTTTCGTCCGATTTAAGGTAAATGGTGTACCAAAAATCCCTTAATATCTTTCGATTTGCACGAAATTTGGAGCAGCATAATTAATTAGGTATAGAATAATGTGTGTTAAGTTTACTGAAAATCGGTTCAGATTTAGATATAGCTCCCATATATATTTTCGTCCGATTTAAGGTAAATGGTGTACCAAAGTCCCAATATATCTTTCGATTTGCACGAAATTTGGCCCAGCGTAATGAATACGGTCTAGAATAATGTGTGTTAAGTTTCGTGAAAATCGATTCAGATTTAGATATAGCTCCCATATATATTTTTGCCCGATTTAAGGTAAATGGTGCACCAAAGTCCCTATATATCTTTCGATTTGCACGAAATTTGGCACAGCGTAATAATTTAGGTCTAGAATGATGTGTGTTAAGTTTCCTGAAAATCGGTTCAGATTTAAATATAGCTCCCATATATATTTTCATCCGATTTAAGGTAAATGGTGCACCAAAGTCCCTATATATCTTTCGATTTGCACGAAATTTGGCACAACGTAATGAATTAGGTCTAGAATGATGTGTGTTGAGATTCCTGAAAATCGGTTCAGATTTATATATAGCTCCCATATATATTTTCGTCCGATTTAATGTAAATGGTGCACCAAAGTCCCTATATATCTTTCGATTTGCACGAAATTCGGCACAGCGTAATGAATTAGGTCTAGAATGATGTTTGTTAAGTTTCCTGAAAATCGGTTCAGATTTAGATATAGCTCTCATATATATTTTCGTCCGATTTCATCTAAATGGTGCACCAAAGTCCCTATATATCTCTCGATTTGCACGAAATTTGGCACAGCGTAATGAATTAGGTATAGAATGATGTGTGCTAAGTTTCGTGGAAATCGGTTCAGATTTAGATATAGCTCCCATATATATCTTGGTCCGATTTAAGGTAAATGGTGTACCAAAGTCCCTATATATCTTTCAATTTGCACGAAATTCGGCACAGTGTAATTAAGTAGGTCTAGAATGATGTGTGTTAAGTTTCCTGAAAATCGGTTCAGATTTAGATATAGCTCCCATATATATTCGTCTGATTTAGGTTAAATGGTGTACCAAAGTCCCTTAATATGTTTCAATTTGCACGAAATTTGGCATAGCGTACTAAATTAAATCTAGAATGATGTGTGCTAAGTTTCGTGAAAATCGGTTCAGATTTAGATATAGCTCCCATATATATCTTGGTCCGATTTAAGGTAAATGGTGTACCAAAGTCCCTATATATCTTTCAATTTGCACGAAATTCGGCACAGTGTAATTAAGTAGGTCTAGAGTGATGTGTGTTAAGTTTCCTGAAAATCGGTTCAGATTTAGATATAGCTTCTATATCTGTCTAAATTAAAGATTTAGTATCGGTTGCAGAATAACATGTTTATGGATTCAATTTAATTTTACTGGTCCTTTAAAAATGCGACGTCTGTTAGGATTCATCTGTTGAATATACCCAAAGTGGTGAAGGGTATCATATAGACGGCCCGTCCGTTTTTAATCCAAAACTATAGTTCTACATTAAAAATATATTTTTTAATAATCCTCGTTTACAGCTCCTGCAATTTTTTTTCTATTCTTAATAATTCAGGCTATTGTTTTTAAGAAATCCATACCTCGATTGTCCTTCGTTTTTTTTAATTCACAAAAAAAAAATTAAATTTTAAGTCTTTGAATTTTCCAACAACCCAAATCAACCGGTTACAATGATATTTAACATAAATATGCGGCAAACCAAAATAGAAAATTCAATTTCAAAATGTCAATTCGTCATTCTCTTTCTATATAATTTTTATTTTATTGCATAAGGTTTCTGTTTTGAAGGTGACCCTATTTGAACTTTGTTGACATTTTACAAATCGTCAATCCATTGATTTTGATTTGTCTGAGAATTTAAAAAATGTGAATTTCTTTATTGTTCCCTTTTTTGGGATATTAATAGTCATACGAAAAAAAAAAAAAACAGTGAGCGGAGCAGTATAGTCGGACGGGGCCGACCATATGATACCCTACACAACTTCCACGAAAGTTTAACTTTGTGTGGTTCTATATTCTGAGGCATGCTTATTGTTTGGCTTGATCCCCATCTCCATGTAAAAATTCACGATGTTTGGGCCATAATTGCGGCCTCTGGAGCGACCAGAAAATCAGACAAAAATAAAGTTTTTGGTCCATTTCATCCCCCTAAATATTAACCGATCTTTACCAGAACCCATCCTACATGCAAAATTTCGCGAAGATTGGTCCATAACTGTGGCTTGTATCGTGTTTACAAATTATAATGGACAGACGGACAGACGGACGGACGGACACACATGTCTATATCGACTCAGCTAGTCGAGATATGACGATCGGTATACTTAAAGATGGGTCTAGAACCAATATTTCGCGGCGTTACAAATTCTTGGGGCTGCACAAAGCTATAATAACCTGACAACATAGTTGTGTAGGGTATAAAAAATAAATAAAAAATAATTTTGTTGCACCCTGTAAAAAAATTAACCTCCTTAGTGCCTTTAAAGGATGCGTTCGGTCTTTGTTTTCTAGGGCCACAATATTTCAAAGTTGTTTATTTGGAAATATAGTCACACACATACATACATACACAACACAATGTGTGATGGTTAACTTTAGGAAAATTATGAAATATCTCCCGACATGATGGGACGGGACAACCATCAAAAACATTTTCTTAAATCAGGAATAATTTGTTGCCACACATTTTACAGCCTCTTTTTTATTGTTTTCGTCAGAAGACAAAAGCCACCGAGTAAATTATTCGCCTTTCATATAAAAATTGTGTGGTCTGGTGGCGTATGATGTGTGTCAACAATAATACGCCTCAAAGCACATTTTGCTTAAAGAACAAAGAAAAAGGTGTTTGTTGAACAGAATTTATTAAAAAAAAACTTTATAAATTCCTGAGAATACATAGAAGATATTTTCGCCTTCACATATTATTATTAGATTTATGAGCGAACATTTATTAGATTTCCTAGGAAATTTAATTTGTCCAATTTTATATATTTTAAGGTTATTTGTTTGTTATTTGAGTGGCGGCATTGTTTCGTTTCCTATTTTACTATTTTTCCCCTTAATTCACACCTTAGTTTAAAAATAGAGCTGCTCATATTAAAAACACAATCAATCATGAGTTGATATTTCATCACGGCAATGCCTTTTGTGTTAGATTAATTGAAACAACAACAAAATATTGAAGTGCCTTCTAAAGCCCTCATGCGTCACAGCAGCTAACCTTTCATCTATGGAATTTATTTTTATTTTAGGTCAGTTGAAAAATGAAATACGAAACAATCCGTTTAATTTTAAGAAATGTTACTCCAGTTTTACTTAGGGCAGCAGAAGGATTGATTAATATTTATACCTTACACATCTATGTTGTCAGGGTATTATAGCCTTGTGCAGGGATTCGAATGCCTATTTAGATAAAGATCGGTCGAGTCGATCTACAGGCCACAATTGAAAGTCGAACATCACAAAACAACCCACGTTGAAGGGAATCTGGACAAGTAATTAGAAGGACTGTATTGAATATTAGTAATATTTGTTGACCTCTAGTGGGTCAAAAGGGTGCAAACATCGCGAAATATTGTCCACTGGTTTTTAAATGACATCCTAGGGCAGTAGAAGGATCGATTGATATTTATACCCTACACAACTATGCCGTCAGGGTATTATAGCTTTGTGCAGGCCCAAAAGTTTGTAATGCCTCGAAATTTTGGTCCTAGACCCACCTTTAAGTATACCGATCGTCATATCTCGACTAGCTGAGTCGATCTAGACATGGGTGTCCGTCCGTCCATTATAATTTGTAAACACGATACAGACCACAGTTATGGACCAATCTTTACGACATTTTGCATGCAGGATGGGTGGCGTGGATTTATTGAAGTGTGTTTCAAGGG